CACGTCACATCACACGTGTTACCGCCTTTGAGACGGCACTGGCGGGGACCGAACACATCGAAGATCTGCCGTACACACACACACAGGCACACGGACACGCGCACACATACACAGGCGCACGCGTAGGCATGCAGAGGCGGGAGGATGAAGGGAAGCCTTGGTGGCTGGGAAATGGTTATTCAAAGGTACGGCACTCCAAAGGGGGACGGAGGGAAAGAGACGAACCTGGGTACGGCGGGTGGGGTTTTGGGGAAAAGACGAACCACGAGCGAGTGAAGCCCGTGGGGTTTTGGGGAGCCCGCTTTGCTTCTTGGGCCTGCTCCTGCCGGGGCCGCAGTCTTCCCCTCCCTCCTCCCTCCTCCCTCCCTAGGGATATAACGGCCGGGTGGGACCCTCCATCGCAGTGCGCAGTCCCCTACGGGGAACAAAAACACCTGAGCCGCCCTTCCCTGCACACACGCACACGCAGTAAAAAACGCACACGTGCACATACACACATACATACATACGCACGCAAGCACGTACACAGCTGCCCGGGGTATGGCCACCATCATCATCAGGGCCAAAATCCCCCGCACACACCCCGCGTCGTCGCCATCATCACAACCAACATCGCCATCATCATCATCATCATCGCCATCACCATCATCATTATCACGCAATGAGCAGTACCTGCACGGTGGTCGCATTGGTGACCAGGTCTATGTCGGCTGAGGGGCGGCCCAGGAACTGGTCACGTACCCAGCCCCCCGCGAACATGCCCGTGTAGCCGTGACTTCGGAGCCTGGATAGACCCGGAGGAGATGGCAACATGAGGGGGGAGCAACATGAGGGGGGAGCAACAACAGGGGGGAGCAACAACAGGGGGGAGCAACAACAGGGGGGAGCAACATGAGGGGGGAGCAACAACAGGGGGGAGCAACAACAGGGGGGAGCAACAACAGGGGGGAGCAACAACAGGGGGGAGCAACATGAGGGGGGAGCAACATGATGGTGCTATCATGTTCCATGGAACCCCTCACCCCACCTCACCCCACCCCACCTCAATAAATAGAGTCAGTTACCGGACCGACCAACTCCAATATTTGCCTGCCTTCATCTTACAAATTCCAACTTGCCTACGCCTACGCCTCCCCTCCCCTCCCCACTTTCCTGCGGGGTATTGGCAGCAATTGCTGATTTATTTCGACTATTCCTTAATTTGTATCTTCCCTTTCCCCCCCTTCCCTCCAGTCCCCTTTCCTATGCAATCCAATCCCAATCCCAAGCCCAGCCCAGCCCAGCCCAGCCCAGCCCAGCCCAGCCCAGCCCAGCCCAGTGTAACACAACCCAGCCCAGCCCAACCCGGGCTTCACGCACTTGGCCACAACCGCCAGTGCCGCCCCCAGGCACCGCTGCTCCGTAGAGCTCCGCGGGCCGGAGAGGGGAGGCAGCCGGTGCAGAACTAAGCTAAAGTTCGGGAAATTACGGATGGCCAGAGGGCCGCTGGGCGCAGGAGGTGGGGGAGGAGGGGGGCCGGGTGGAGGCGGCGAGGTTGGTCGGGAGTAGTGGGCAGGGGCCGGGTCGCCGCTCCGAGTGCTCCTGCCCTTGCTGCCGTTGCCGTCCCTTGATCTAAAATTGGGCGTTGCCCCAGCACTGCCGCTACCGTCAGTATTGGCGTAGCGACTGCTGCTGCTGATGGTGGTGGTGCTACTGCTAGCGCTGCTGCTACTGCTGTGTCCGCTGTTTGCATTAGCACTGTTACTGTTGTTCATGCTACTGCTGGTTGTAAAGCTGCGGTTCTGAATGCTCCAGGCGCCTGCTCCGTCACTCGCACGCCGCCTGTGGCCGGGTTTTCTGCCGACCCACATTATTTCCCCCCGTTTGGCCCCTGTGGCGAGGCCTGGTGCGGAGGGCGACAACCCCGTCTTGCCCTCCACATGGGCTTCGGCTGCCGCTGACCAAGTGCTGTTGTGAAACGCGCTAGTTGGATTAACTGAAGAGTGAATCTTGCCATGGGTTGTCAGTTGTGTGGGGGTGGAGATCGCTCTGGGTGTGCCATGGTGTCGGAGGGGGATAAGGCGGCCCGCAGAGGCTGCAGCAATCCGCGCGGAACAGAGAGACTGCGGGGCTTGGCAGGCTACGGCTCCTGTAACCAGGCAGGATCCGAGTGATGGAGACGTCGACGCATTTAAAGAGGCTATGGTTGCGTCGTTCAAAGATCCGAACGCGCTCAAGAGAGGCGTCCATGTGTGCGGGTGGGTGACGGAGAGCGACGGGATTGGCAAGCTGCTGCGACCAAAAAGCGCCCAGGAGGCGCGCTGGAGATTCTGCAGTGCGTTAATGAACACAGCAGCTGAAGCTGGTCTCGACGAACGTGGCGACATTCCAAAGCATGGGAGAGATGGCCCTCCTAGCCTGTCCTATGATAGGTGGGACGGACTACCATCGGTCCGGCCTTCTGCATACGCAATCCTGATAGCGATGCAAAAGAATTCCTTTGCCACTTAGCATGCATGGTAGCGCGCATAGCGCAACAAACGCAACCGGTACGACAATGAGTATTTACCCCGCTGGATGATTTTCGCTTCAAACTCTTGTGATTGAAATGTGAGCTCTTTTCTTCCATCAAATTTGCTCTCGGACGGAATGCCTGCAGGGACACAGTGGTTAATCGCGCCAGTACGCAAATGGCAAGCCGGTACCGAAGCCCTTGCCGTCCCAGCTCAAAAGCTTGCAAACTTTTTCGTGGAAGCCGTTAGAGGCAGATTAAGTGAGCTAAATTGCCCTGGGCAGCCTGTGGTGCAACCAAACTTGTCGACTAGGCACATCAGCTGCTGCGATGAAAGCGATCAGATGCCCCCATGGTTGAGACGATCTGAAAGGTCATGGACGCTGCGATGCCGCTGCACTGCGCCTGTAAGCGGCAACGCCGGTCTTCTCTCGCCTGCCAGGACCCGGCCCGCGTCCTGTGAATCCCCAGACGCGAAAGTCCTCCCAGACGCAGCCCACCGTCTAGACCTTGCATCCGCTTTGCCTGTCCGAACTACAATCACCTCACCTGCCAATGCAACGTCCCCACAACTCCTTGTTGCTGCTGCTACCACCGCCTGTGGAAACATCTGTTCTCATCGTACTGCCGTTGCACCCGCCACCACGCTGCGCCGGCCGCGAAGCAGCTCCGCCTTTAACCTCCATAGGATCCTCAACAGCACCAGCAGCAAACCTAACTTCCCAATAAGCCCCGGCTGGACAGCTTCCAGCATATGCCGCTTCCACGGTGTGAGCACGTGGTGCAGAGCGGGAAAGTGGGGCAGCGCGGCAGGGAGCGGTTTACCACAACACGGGGGGGCCGCATCCTCGAACTGGCGGGGGGAGATAGGGGCTCCGGGGCTCCTTCCCCATCTCCGCCAGATCTCCATGGGGACCTCATCCTGGATGTCTGGCAGCGGCGGCGCAGCGGCCGCCACCTCCCCGGGCGGCAAAATGCAGGAGGTGCGGTATCAGCTGCGGAGCTTGTTCCAGGCCCGAAAATGGGTCATGGAGAGCAGCTTCGCCTGTGATGCTTAAGGAGGGTGGGAGGTGGGAGGCATTCGAAAAACTGATAGATTGCGCAATTTGGGGAAATGGGGAGTTACTCAGGTGAAGTACGGGTGTGTGACCCGTGGGTCGGTGTCCGTCACTCGCCAGAACGGTGTCACATCAAGATGCCACAGATGCCTGGGTGCCTTGGTAGATTTTTTCATGTTGCGTATGTCTTCCGTCCAAACCACCTCCCGCCTGACTTTAACACCCCTGGTCTGTGGTTTGTCTCTCCCCCCTCCCCTTCACTCACAGTATCCATCTATCTCTGGTATTTGTTTCAATCGTCAGTGGTTCGTCGTACCCCCTCCCCCTCAGCTACCGAGCTGCCCGGCTAGCAATGTCCCCCCTCCCTTTCCTTGGCAGCAGCTTCACTCCTTCGTGGCTCGCCTTTTCCCCCCTCAGCTACCGTATATGTACTCGTTCCACTCGCTTTCGTTCCCTCGTTTCCCTCCCGTATGTACCGTACCGTATGTACTTTTGTTATTTACCCGCGTCTTAGATTCCCCTTCCTGTCGCCCCGCCGTCTCTGCGTTCCCCTTCCTGCCTGCCAACGCCAAAGCAGGAACCGCTACCTGCCACCCAGCTGCGCGCGTCCTTCCTTCAGGATGAGGCGCCCCCGGCGCCCCCGGCTGGCGGTCCGATGGAGCGCATTCCCATCCTGCCGCCACGACACCGCCACCAGCTGCCGCTACCCCGCGACGTGTCCAAGTCCTTGTGGCGCACCGCGGAGGAGCTGGCGGCGGCGGGCAAGCTGCTGCGGCTGCAGGTAGGCAAGAGCGGTGTCACGCGGGCGCTGATGGCGAGGGCGGGACACCTGCTGGAGCACCACCAGCTGATCCGGGTGAGTCGAGTGGAGCTGGGTTTGGGAGGGCGAGGGAGGGAGGGAGGGAGGCTGGGAGGCACGGAGGGAGGGGGGGGGAGGGAGGGAGGATTAAAGGTTTGTGTGGATGTTAGGAAGAGGACAGCTGATGGTGGCGCTGGGGGATCAGGACAAAGGCGGACGGGCAGGAGGGAACTGGGCGGTGTTTTTTGTGGCAATTTGTGGTGATACTACGGGGGAGAAGGGAATGGAAATGCTGTTTGTTGTTTCCGGCGGCCTCTTGTGCCCTGCGTTTCGTGCGTCTCCAATTCCCACTCACGCGACCTTTTGCAATCCTTCCCACACCCGCCGATCCGTCTATCCTTCCATCCCCCTCCTCCCGTCCCCCTCACTCGTTCGTGGTCCGTCTTTTCCCCTCCTCCCTCCCCCCACAACACACACACACACACATGCAGGTGAGCTTGCTTCAGAACTGCCTTCTGGATGTGCGGTTCGTGGCCTGGCTGGCTGAGAACGCCCTGGACTGCCAGTGTATCAAGGTCAAGGGTCGGACTGCCACGCTATTCAGGTGAGGACGAGGACGACTGCGATTGCGGTAAAGGCGAACCACGTGAACGAGTGAAGCTGCTGCTGCCAAGGAAAGAGTGTACAAGAAGCAGGACTGACCAGTATTGGGGGGAGGGAGCCGTCGGGAGGGTTAGGTTAGCACGAGGGGGGGGTCGCGGGGAATGGGTGGGGGGGAACTGGCCACTGCTGGGGTGTCAGTCCTCTTGTTTGTTACTCCGCTTGATTGCGGAGGCGGCTCAGGGAGGCGGGAGGGCGAGTTGAGCCCTTCTGTCTGTGTGTGTCTGTCTGTGTGTCTGTCCGTGTGTCTGTCTGTGTGTCTGTCTGTGTGTCTGTCTGTGTGTGCGTCTGTCTGTGTGTGTCTGTGTGTGTGTGTGTCTGTCTGTCTGTCTGTATTTGTGTGATGCTGGGGTGGGAACTATAAAGCGCCCCTGCCGAGGGGCCGCCGCTCTAACACCAGCAGCACCGGATTCCCCAAAAATTGGCATATTGGTGCTACCTGCCAAAGGTTGCTCAGTAGAGTACCCGGCATGACGGCCTGCCGCACGGGAAAAGCTGCCGAAACCAGGTGCCGTACCTGGTGCCAAACAAGGATTCGGGGATGCCCTCTGGGGTGCCGTACAGAAGGCCGGCGGAGGGGAGCCAAAGCACGTAATATACGGCTATGCGAAAGGCACAGCACCATGTAAACGATATCTTTCTCTGCTTGTTCTTTTTCCCTCAGCTCTCCCGCTTCCACTTGCTCGCTCCCTCCGCCCGTTGAACCCTCCGCCCCTTCAGGCAGAGGGGCCTGCCCCGTCCACCCGCCAGCTTCCCGGAGCATCCCCTGGAGCCCCAGCCGACAGTAGCAGCCGCAGCCAGCAGTGACAGCAATGACAGCAGTACAAGCAGCCGCAGTACCAGTAGTACGAGCAGCAGCCAGCAGCTTAGAGGGCTGGCTGTGCCAGCGCCAAGCTCACTACCGGCCTTACCACCACCACCACCACCAACGCCACCATTGCGACCTGCTCGCACAGCAGCAGCGACACCAGCATTTACGGAGGCTGCGGAGACCACCCCGCCTTCCAGAGTATCGGTACCAATGGATGGGCCGGGAGCAGCAGTATCAGTCGCAGCATCCTCGGAGTCACTTCGAGCACAGCAGCCCACGTTATCTCCCGCGGGGCGACAGTGGCATGAGCAACAGCAGCAGCAGCAGTGGTGGGAACAGGGGGACCGGGTGCAGGAGCGGAAGCGAGGGCCAGATACTCCTGCCTCCGCCTCCTCCCGGGTCATGGACGCGGAGGACGGTGTGGCAGCAAGCCACAGGGTGCCCCTGGCTGTCCGGTTCAGGCAGTGGTCGGCGACTCGGGACGCACGACGGTTGCGGCTGCGTGTGATGAGGCAGCAGCCAGGCAGGAGCACTAGCAGCGGCTCCGAAAGGTGATTCCCGTGTGCGGCTGTAGCGACGAGTACAGCGAGAACCTTTGCGTGGTGGCGGTAGTGCGTGTTTTAGAGTGTGTGTGAGAGAGGGAGTCTTGTGGATGGGATCTTTCCCACGTGGGGCGGAGGCAGGGTAGCTGTATGCTGGATGAATCCAATGAATGGGTGGAGGAATGAATGTCGCAATGAAGCGGCGGTATGGGGGCGCATGGAGGACATGTCTTCGGGGGGTTGCCACAGTGCTCTGTGTGTCCTTAGTACCCTACCTACCTACCTACCTACCTACCCACCCGCGCACAACTGCGTGCGAATGTTGCGGTCGTTCACGTGGAAAGTTATGTTGGCGTGTTGTGCGGTGCGCGTGCTTTTACTTGTGCCAGCCGAAATACTCACCATTCACACTTGTGCGTGCGTGCGTGATGCGAGAGGTTGGCAGTGAGTGTTGGTGTTGTGCCCGTTGACTCCCTCGCGCAACACATAAATACGGCTTGCTTGGCGAAGCCGCCTGAAGCAGCTGATGTACGGTTTTGGTCTGATCTCCTCCGTGGTCATGGCCAGGGAATCTTGACAAATCACCAGCACTGCCTCCAACCGACTTCCGGTCCTAGTTCTTGCTAAACTTCGCAAAGCTTTCATCACCTACCGTCCATGCATACATACAACATATGTAAGTCAGGCACTACTGGTCAGGCACTACTGGTAACTGGTAACGCACGCACCGATGTCCCCGGAGGTTCCGGGATCGAAACTGTCAGGGTCGAAAATCCTTCCGACGGTGGAAGGTAAGAGTGCCCCTAGTCGATCGACGGTGGTGACCTGGGATAAAGTAAACCTGCGAGCTGACCAGGATTGGAGTTGAGCCGCGGTTGATCCGGCAAGTTCCGTCGGATGCCGGTGGTGGGTGCTGAACCTGAGCGATCCACTGAGAAGTTGACTAGGGTGGCTAGATGAGGATGCCCCGAAATACCGGGGAAGGCAGGGTTTCGCCAGGTAGCGGACACGTGTGAAGATATGCCCCCTGTTCCACACATCGTATAACGCCAACCGAGTTGCGGCCGAGGGCCCTGATTTCACACTTTTGCAGCTGCAGGACTTCACTGGCCTATACACAAACCTTCCCCTCGACCTCATCCTCTGACACAAATTTTGCAGCGCCCGTCCACAAGTGCTTTCATCACGATGTCATAACCAGCCCAGCACCACCCAGCCTACGGGATCAGCGGCCCACCCAAGCCGTCAGCTGGTTCATGGGGCGACTACTACCGGCAATCCGCATGCGACACACGGTCGAATGGTCACACGGGGCACATCACTGAGGCGGACTTCAACACCTTCTTCGGGATAACCCTCGTTACCGCCAACGTCCGGTTTTGGCCACATCCTCAAGCGGCAAGCATCCCTCTGGGCATTAACCCCCAGTTCTATGGCTATGTGGGTTTCTTCACACCCAACCTCTTCCTCGCCTGGTTTGAGTTTCACTTCCTGCGGCAATACTACGAAACCCCGATCGAAGCCGCAGTGGATGTTGTTCGGGACGTGCACACCCACTTCCGCTCCACGAATCGCTTCCTTGCGGAGCTGGCCTCGCGCGACGACCCCTACCTTGCAGCCTTCGTCCACCAAAACTACGTCCCCCCTGACACCGGACTGAAGGACATACATCCTGAGCAGAGCTCGACATCCCATCCCAGTGCAACACCATGCCCACCTTCCACCCACCCGACTTCCTCTTCCTAGATGGCATGGTCGTCCGCCAGCCCGTCCCTCACTAAACAGTTGTATGACGCGAAGGAGAAGCCAGTGTCGCAAACGCTTGCCTGTCCCACTTTGTACCGGCATCCTCCATTGTCAACGAGGCCGCCATGCGAAACACCTGTGTATGCGTGTTACATGGTTGGGGGTGCGTGACCCCATACCTGTAAAACTTCCCATACGAGCCGAAGGCCCAAGGGCAAAATATCTAAACGCCTAAAAGCCACGGAGAACAGGAAACACCGCACTATCAGCCCAGACTAGCGTCCAAAGGGGGTAACTGAGTTGCGATGAGCCCACATACGTTCCAACATCCTCGCCAGACGTACTGTTTCAACGGCTATGGGGGCCATTCTGGACATGGACAACTTCGCCTAGAAGGTGGCGCGTCTGACCAGGACTACCCGTTGAGACGGCTGCTGTGGAACAGCCAAGGGCTCTGCGTGCTGCACCGCACCGCCTGCAGGCTCTTAAAGTGTGCCCCATACATGCCCTAGCGCAGTGAATCCAGGCACGAGATCTGCATCGCGCCCGCTAAACTTCAGCCTCCCTTTCCCCCCTTCTTCTCCTCCACTTCCGCCTCTTCCTACCTTCCCCCACTCCCAGCATTCCCCTCGTAAAGGACTGTAATAAGAGGAAACAGGGAGACACAGGGACATAGCCCATATGGCCATGGTCGCGACAGTGCTAATACGAGCCCTCCATCATCCCTGCACGCCTTTTCATCTCGTTACCCCACCCTACACACCCCACCACGTCCAGCCCAACTGACAGGTCTACCTGCCCTTCCTACCTCGCGGAACCTCCCTTCCCTCCTGCCCGTTCCGTGGCTTGCGATTTGATTCCTTGATGTGGGGTGTGAGAAGGGAGTGCCCTTGGTGCGGTGAGTGAGACGGGAGATGCCCATCTCTTGGGATTTTATGCCCTTGGGTGACCAGCCCGACGGCTCGCAAAGCGCGATGGGTGCGAACTCGTCGTACGGCATGGGACCCCTCGGTCCGCCCCATGAGGGCTTCAGTGGGTTCAAATCCCTCGTCGATCGAGGTATGTGGGTTCGTACTGCCTCTGCCATGCTGCCTGGGTCGAAGCTCTTCCCTTGCTGACGTTACACAATCGCCTTGCGCAAATGTTCTTTGGACATCTCACTTGCGTACCATATCTAATGTTCCATCTTGCGATGTCGGGTTTGAACCTTCATGCCCCTTTGTCCTCTCGGTATGCCCACAATTTCTCTCATGACTACCCGCACTGTTTAGCATGGTAAACATCTCACGTACGTCGACTCCTGCTGAGGGATGTCCGAAAGACATTATCTCCCGCACAGGCGGACGCGGATGGACACCTAACCTGAGCAAATGCAATGCATCGTAAGGCTCCATTTTTAACCCGACTAGCCCAAGCCCTAAGCACCATGAACGTTACGTGCTTATACTGGATTCACATGCTACGTTACGTTGCGAAAACTTTTTGGGAAAAGTGGGCCTGAGAAAGTCACCCAGTTCACATGGGACATTACGACGACGTTGTGTTCGTTGGCGCGAGCTGTGTAAACCATCTCCATTTTATGTCTTTCAATGGCCAAAACTTCAGCACATCCCCTTAGAATCGCAATATATAATTGAAGGGTTATTGGCAGCCCTGCCTAGTGCAATGGCACTGCATCCCGCGCGAGCCGCGATGGCGTTTGCCCTAGCGGTCGCGATGGATGAAATTTTTGATAACCTTGAAGACATGTTCGATGCTCAGTGGCAGAGTTTGAGCGTGTGGGCCGGCGCGGCGCGGCCCATGCCGCCGGAAGTGCGGCCGACTTGCCGTTTCGCGGGTGGCTTCAGCCCTGATACTACAATGGGTTACATATTGGCTATGTAAGCGGTCATGAGCGGTCGAGCAACACGAGTGGCGTTGTCCTTGTTCATTTTCCAAAATAAACTGCAGCGGTGTGACTAGAAATTCGGTCGGAGTGCAAAGCGCGCACAATTTGTCAAATATGTGGTCTTTATAAGCGATTGTGCTTGGCCATTTGTTATAACTCGCGAAATTGGCGATGCAATTCAGGTAACGGTACGAGGGGTCAGCGTTTGACGAAATTCAACCCCCCCCCTCGGTCACTTTAGACTTTTCGTCCACTTTACCGGTAACGTACCGTTACCATGTCCATGGCCGTTTACCGATATACAATGACGAAGTTTGAGGGCGCACGTCGGAGCCTCAATTTTTTGTTTAAGCGTACTAACTGAGGCCGTATGTCCAGTGAAGTTAGTACGGCCTGGCCGAGTTCTTTTTGAATAAGGCCCACAGTGTTGTGCGGGAGGCGTTCCTATGGGCGCTGCACTCGACCCGTTCGGGGTCCACTGTAACAATCGCATCCATGTCCGAACCGACCACTTTTCCCAAAAAGTCTTAACGTAACGTAGCATGTGAACTGGCTATTATGTTTATGTTTCTTTGCGCATAACCCCCCGTAGCTCGCTTAGAAGTTGGCTCATGCGCGTATTCCTCTGTCACTTCCCTGTCGAGCTCGGGAGGCCAGGAGGGTGCCTGCACTTGCACGACCGACGTAAAGCATCTAAAAAAGTCTCGGTAATGCAGAGTTTGATGCGATCTGTCACCCCTCCTTTTGGAAGCGTGGTAACTAGCAAGTTTGCACGGGGGCCCACGGTCGCAGCCCTTCCAAATGCTGAACGTTTGGTGCTGGAAGAGCAGTGACGAAAATTGCTCAGTATGCGTGCCTTGATTCTGTATGGACCAGAGCTTGCAGATGAAGATAGATGGGCAGTTTGTGCAATTATATGACAAATACAGTTTGGACGAGATCAATTTACACTTAAAGCTTGACATTTAACTAAGCTTTATGTAGAAAAAAATTGTCATCGTTACATATTTATCCTGGTCTTGAGCCTCCACTCAAACGAATGAGCGCCGCACACTTGCGCTCGTCGGCAAGCATCCCAAGTTGCAGCGGTCGAAGCCCTTTCCGGTGTCACAATGCAACCTTTATACCAGCCCTACGCCAACAGCTCATTCATCGCCAGCGAGCGCGGGCACCGGTCTTTGCCGTCCATGCGCTCTACAATTTCGCAGAGTCCGCGGAGGTCCGCGTTCCAGGTCAAAGGCGGAACCGAGGGCTCCTTAAGAAAGAGGGTAGGGCTGCCTTTCAAGGCAATTCGCGACTGGGCCTCTATCCTCGCCAGGCGCCAACACCCCAACCCCTCCCCATGCATGCATTCCGCTTTTTCAGGCGTATCAGTTCCTCTGCTGCGCTGCCCCTTCCTTCACCCCAGCAGGCTCCAACCCAGGACCCATCCGCGTTGCCACTGCCTGTATTTTTCGGCTCCCACACAGCAATCCACCGACCTACAACCGCCCACACAACCAGGCCTAACCCCTATCCGCGCCACGTACCTTTTTTACTTTTACCTTTTTTTAAAGCCCCCTAAGTTTGAACTTCCCAGACACACCAGCCATGCCGCGCTCCTCATCGCCCCTGCACTCCCCTGTTTGGCAGCTCGTGAGATCATGGACGTGGTTCGCGGGCTGACCTCTATGAGCCCCAAGCAGCTGGCGGCTGTGTCCCACATGCTGCCCCCCGGGGCGGTGGAGGCGGTGGGGGTGGCGGCCAGGCTGCCGAGGAGCAACCAGGTGTGTGAGGGTGTGAGGGGGGGATGGGGTGGGGTGGGGGGGGGGCAACGGTGTGTGAGGAAGTGGGGTGGGGGGAGGCGCACGCATGGGTCGGTCTGGGAAGTTTCACAGAGAAGAATGGTGGAAGGGGGGGAATGGTGTGTGTGTGTGGGGATAATGCTTCAAAGGTTTGGGTTTCTCGGCAATGAGTGACTGGAGGGCTGTAGTGGGGTGGGTGGGAGGGAGGCGGAGGACCCGGTGCGGGTGTGGTCTCGGGCCGTCCATCACATTCCCCGCCGCTCCATAGGTTCGGTCCGGTTTAACGCCGCCGAAAAGCCTTGGCTCGGTTGCTTCGGCGATGCGGGTTTGGACGTGGCTCCTACCCTTCCCTTCCCTTGTTCCATCTGAGGGCTCTGAGGGGCAGTGGTCCCCCCACGGCAACGTTTTCCCGTATCCGTCTTCTTTCCCCTCCCACAGCCGTTATTGCCCCCAGCAGCCCACGTCCCTCCCTGCCTCTCAACCTCCTCCGCCACCCCCCCCCCGCGCCATTGCGGTTCTCCTCTCGTCTCTCCTCTCCTCTCCTCTCCTCTCTCCTCTCCTCTCTCCTCTCGTCTCTCGCACATCCAGGGTCGCAAGCGGCAGGAGGGCCTCGTGGCCAAGATGCTGCGGGGGCAGCTGACGGAGCAGCTGATGGATAAACTGCAGGTGGGATGTGCGGGTGGAGGTGGAGGTGGAGGTGGAGGTGGGCCCTCCAAAGGTGTCATCGTGGGGGCCCATACGTGCCTGGAGCCCCCCGGGATGGGGCCCAAGGGCCCGGCGGCCCGAGGGCCGTCCGAAGTATATCACAGATATCACGAAACTCACGAGGAAAGCGATTATCCTTTCCTTTCCTTTTGACCATTCTACCCCGGGGTCGAACCGAACTGTTCAGCCACCGCAAGGGGCCTACGGTGCTATGTTTAAAGTCCCTCTTTTGGCCCCGGGTACCCTGCATTTCCTCCCCCTTAGGGCGCTCCCTTCAGCACACCCGTTCCGCAAGTATCCGCATTTGCACCACTCACCCTCCCACCTCCCCCCGCCTACTGGTCAGTTCTGCCTCTTGTACATTGTTTCCTCGGCAACACGCCTTCACTCGTTCGTGGGGGATGTCTTTCCCCCCGTTCGTCTTTCCCCACCTCCCGCGCAATCCAGGCTGCTGTGACAGTGGCCACCGAGCGGCAAGGTATTTACGACGACACGGACGTGAGCGGTCTGGTGGACGTCTGGCAGGAGGGGCTGCTGGGGGACGACGAGGTAGGGCTGGGAGCCCGGGGGTTGGAATGGAGGGCGGGAGGGACCTCACATAATCACATACACACATCACATACACGTACACGCGTGTGTGCGCGTCCCTGTGACCCCCGCGGGGTTAGCCCGGGCGCATCTGGTGTTTGACCCTCTGCATGCTTGCGGAGGGAAGTCAGGGGGATTGTTCCCGGAAAGCGTCAACGAATTGAAACACACAGCAAGCCGCGTGTACACGTACACACGCGCGTGCCTTAGCGAAGCTGTGTGTTGCCTCATGAGGCGCCTCATGAGGTCCAGGTGACCTTAGGGTTGGAAGTCTTCGACGATTCGCAAGCCACCGTCGCCATCGTCGTCGCGTGCCGCCACCACAACCTCAGTAACAAATCTACCCCCCCCATCTTTCCCCCCCATCACATCACATCGCGTGGTGGCTTGCAGGCAGTCGTGGAGGAGGTGTACGGCTACCCCGCGGCATGGGCACCAGATTACCAACAGCTCCGGGCGCTTGTACGGCAGTGCCAACAGGTTGGGTGGTGGTGGGTCGAGGGAGGGATGCGGGCCGGGAGCAATTCCGTGGGTGTTTACATGGGGGAGGGAGGTGTATATATACACCTCTCTGCTCCTACCGCGTCCGCCATTAGAGCTGTTGCTTCTCAACTGCTCAGCAATTGTGCTGTTGCTGCTACTGGTGCTGCTACTGCCACTGTTATTGATGGTACTGTTGCTACGCGTATTGTTGCGGCTGCTGCCGTCACAGGCTCTCGAGGAGGAGCAAACACATGAGGCCGCCAGGCTGCAGTCCACGGTAGGGCTGGGGGATGAAGAATGTGACGGGCGTCAGTCCACATGGTATTTTGCGTGGAGGAGGTTTGGGTAGAGGCTGGTTGGCTGTGCAGGGGTATGTCCCCTTCAGATACATGGGGGTGGGAGTGGGAGTGGGGGTTAGCACGCAACGCCTCTCCCCATCGCCCACACCTTACAATGCGTCCGTCCACGGCCCTCCGTCCCCCAGCAGCCATTCGCGACAACGGTGCCGGACGCAAATAGGGGCAGTAGCAGCAGCAGCACCGAGAGTGACAGCGACGGCATCAACGACGGCGAGGGCATTGAGGATGTCGATGACGAAGATGGCGACCTGGTTGCCGTGCTGGCGGAGGCTGCGGCGCGCAGTGGAGCAGGCGGCCTCGGCGGCGGCGGCGGAGCGGGCCGAAGACGGCGAGGGCGCAAGGCCAAGGCTCCTCAGCCACGCAGCCGGGGCCTTATCCGCAGCCTCCGCAAGATGCTGCGCCCGCTGGCAGTCCGAGTGGTTCAGGAGGGGCTGCCAGGCGCATAAGGGTGGAGGAGGAATGACCAAAAGGATGCGGCTGCGGGTGCAGGCCAGTCCTGCTGTTAAGGGGAGATCGAAAGTCCTTAGAAGCCCATACTCCACTAGGTGGCCGCAGTGGGGGAAATCCGTGGGGAAGGATGAGATTGGAGTCCTGGATCGATTGATGGGCAAGATGAAGTCGCACAGCGCGGCAGGGAGGGGCCCCCTGTCCAGGTAACCCTAGGTGCGTTCCGGGGCATGCCTCGTGCGATGTGGTTGGATCACGTAAAGATACACTTCCGTCGTCTCTAGGTGTTGGCGTGTCTCTAGGTGTTGGTGTTGGGGTTTTGGCGGTGGTGCGGGGCGTAAGGGCGGAAGGGCACGTAGAGGACACACCATGAGGGGGTGTTTTGAGTTACCCAACAACCCATGTGGTGATCTATGTGCTTCGCATTGCGCCTATATCTGTGCCGCAAGCCCAGCTGAGATGTCCCCTGTATGACCTTTCTTGCCATTTACCCCTGACCCTCTGGTTCGTTTGGTTATACCACGCAGAGCCCGATGCAAGGCCGGATGGCTTCTCGGAAGCCAATGTTAGAACGCCGCCGATAAGGCACTAAAACCCCCACGCGACGCGTATGTAGGCTTGCCCACCTGGGGAATTGTCTTGCTGTGTAGTGGGTCTGTTTGAGGGTGCTGCAGCCTATGTTGTGATGGGGCTTATGATGAATGGTATGAGTACGGTTAGTCTCGAATGAGGTGCACGATTACCGATGGAAAGCTTACAAAGAGCAAAGCTACAACTGATGAGTTGTGCTCGTGTAGTAGACTCCACACTACAAAACACACTCTTCGTCTTGTACCTGGTTGGTGCCTTGGTGGCCGAAAGGCCGAATTCTTCGCCTGGTTTGCCAGGGATGTGTTCGGGTAATCCTGGGATGCGTTGGGAAGATCATGAGCTTTGTTGTCGGGAAAGACGAACACGCCAATATAAGCAACATTGACCTGGTCCTCTCCCTCCTTTCCTTTCTCTCTTTTCGCTCTCTCCTTTCCCTGAACGCGTCTCCTCATTCTGCATATGGCTAATGGAGGGGTATCCGTGCTTTTGTGCTTGCAATTTACCGGGGTTCCTCTTGTTCCAGATTTCAGCATTGTTACAAGTATTTGACCGGGCTTGACACTGGCCAGGGATTGCCGTCCAGCCCCAACCAAGTTTCCAACAAACAACTCGTGTTTTATGTCAAGCAGCTTTATAGAAAACACTATTATATAAAACGGACTAAGCTCTCTCCCGCGGGCATGATAAGGGCACGAGGATTCTGTGCTATCTCCAGGAACCGTAGGACTGCTAGCTACAAGAAAAATGCTGTCCTCCCCCAGGTGTGGGAGGCATTGCACACACGCACCCCATCACGAGCAACGCAAGGCTCTGTCAGTTGAGTTTGCACACTTGAGCCTGAATACACTACAAGATGCCTGTTCATTCATGGCCTGATATGGCCCTTGGGGTGAAAGTTCTCTACGAGCGAGAAAATTCTTCTTTGCCTACGCTGCGTCCGTTCCCACCAATGCTTGTTTGGCACACAGACGGCGCTTTCGCTTGCTGGCCTCAAATGCTGGAGTGGGCTGCAGCTCACAACCAAGAGTGGGCCACCACAGCAAACGTGAAGCAATTAGTTCGTTCAGCAGAAGTGAACGGGCGGTTTGCATGTCATCTTTATCGAAAGGGAAAGTGCTGTGTATGCTTTGGTAACCAAGAATTTTACTCGCGAATAAGAGTGCGAAGACACCGCAGTCATTTTGGTCCGGATATTGTGTAGGTGCAAATGTACAGCAGCGAAATTGCAAATAGTTCATTGATGGGGCAATGTAAAACCTCTCCCTGCTCTCCCTCCTCACCCTGCTCTCCCTCCTTTCCCTGCTCTCCCTGAACGTGTCTCCTCTCCCTCCTCTCTCTCCTCCCTCTGTGACGCTTTGCTCACTAATCCTGCAGATGCACATCTGGGTTTCAAGGTTGAACTCCGTACGCGTCCCTCCCTGGTTCTCAAGCACAACATTCGATATGTTAATACTAGTCCTTCTTAACTTATTTCTCTTTGCTTTTCGCTTCATGTTGCCATTTTTTCGGGCGTCACATTCCACATGTCTTGTCGATTTGCGTCATGTGAACTTTTGTAACCGCCTTACGCTCGCCCTCTACTTCACACTGCACATCTTCCGGACTTCCGCGCTTTGCATTTTACCGTGTTTTCTCTCTTATTCAATAACAGCGCGCTTACGACGTCCTGCCGGATTGCGCAAAGAGTAGTAGTCCATTTTTCATCCAACATCTACTAGGTTCTTGCCCCCCTCTTAGGTGGGCACCCTAACTTTTATTAATGAGGAAAGCTGACACCTCAATGAAAAGTAAGACCCGTAAAAGACGCCGCACCACATGTCAACTTGCACCCGCCTCGACTTTCCTCTCGTAACGCACCTTCCCGCCACACATCTCTCCCACACACATGCCTCCACCGAGATGAAGACTTACGTCCGTTCACCTTATACCAGTTCACTGCGTCTCCTATAAACCCACATCGCAATCCGCGTGCGCGTGCACGCCATTAACATACGGTCAAGCAACGCAACTGAACGCAGCCAGCTTCGCGGAAAAAAATACTTTTGAGCGCGCCAACACACACCCACATGCACATGTCATCCACATCCACATCTTGTGGCCTCCTTGAATACACGACCATGGCCACAGTCACACTCACCAGTGCACAGAGGGCCTCGGGCGGTATTTCTACAGCCACATACATACACTCGCACGACCGCTTTTCTGTACTTGTGGTGTACTTCGCCGCCCTACTCCGTCTTTCCCAGCTGCAGCGCCTGCTCGGCTTGTGCTTGCAAACATGTGCAAATCCATGCCGTGCCCTCACTGAGTAATAACTACACGCACACGCAGCCGTGCCGCCGGGGCCCCTCCCGACAGACAGACAGACAGACATCTTCCAGGCGGCTTCTAGCCCGCACCGCACCGCGCGACTATCTCGCCCCCTCGCTGATGAACTCGCTGCTCTAAAGGCCCCTCATGCCGTGTCTGTTGCTAACATGCTTTCCCTTCCCAGACATCCTGCTGCGAGTACACATACCGGGTTTGTACGACTACTGACGATGGTGATGGCCGCTGACGTGTCGGATTGTGCACGAGAACTGCACGGTAACGCTGGACGGAACACCCGGAGCGGGGGGGAGGGCCGGTGTGCGGCGCTGGAGAGCAACAACCCCGGCCCTTCATGTCTAGGTCTGTCCCCCTCCCTTAGCTCCGGTCCTATAAATTCCATTTCAAAACATTACCCGGCAATCCCGCGTTTCAGCGGATCTGAGCGAAAGCAGTGCACGACTACTGCACCTCACCTCACCTTAAGGCTTCCCATCCTCGCCTTCCCTCCAATCCGTTCAAACTCAAATATCTTTCCCCCTCCTGTGTCGTCCTCCAGAGCTTGATGGGTAGGGGGCGGCTTTACCCAGCCTGCTCGCTCCACCTTAAACTTGCTAGATCGTGCCTGCCATGCCATGCAGCCCAACTGAGATTCTCTTCAGCCCCTTTCCTGCAGCGGCGCTTGCGGCCTCCCCCCCCCCCCAGGAAGTGGGCCCCTGGCCCCACGCTGGCTCCATGACCAGCCTCCAACGCGTATGCACAGACACAACAGAGAACTACCACGCAGAGATCGATCCTGCTCTGCAACTTCGCTCACCCGCTAGCCACGAGCTCCCAGGCCGGAAACCACTGCCACGATTGCGGCGGCGGACGCTAATCCATCTGGCCATCAGCCCGGCACGCCGGCCCCCAAAGCCTCTAAAGGAAAAACCACGGTACTTCCGCCCGGGAAATGAAACACAGCTCGGGCAATGGACCTTAGAAGGGTTCGCCCTCCCGCTCGCCCAAACACCTCCCCTACCTTAAAGTCTTACGAGGGTATCCCGATCTCCCCAAGGGGGACCCTCGCACGAAGTCAGTGCAGTCAAGTGCCTGTGCTTAGTGCTCAGAGGATGACACATGACAACGTGTAGAAAAACTTTGGATACATGGGGGAACAAACAAATCCTTCAAAGAACTTCCGTACGAGCACACAAGCACACCGCAAGAAAACCAGCCCCAAAAAGTACAGCTACCACCACCATCACCACACCGCGCCGCTCTAACAGCTACCAGCAAATACGGCATACAGGACGTGTCACCTCCTCCGTCCACTGCTACTGCTGTCGCTACTGCTGTCGCTACTGCTGTCGCTACTGCTGTCGCTACTGCTGTCGCTGCTACTGCACACGTACCGTTGCAGCCAAAGCAGCTACTGCTACATTTCCCTACTACTCTTCCCCCTTCCCCCTCTACTTCTATCTGCTCTTATCGCTGGGTTCTGGTGGCCTCGTAGTTCCGATGCGGCTGAAGGCTACCAGGGCAATACTGTGTATTCATCAACGGCGGTGGCGGCGGAAATCAGGCAGAAATCTATAGCGTGCACGTCTTCCAAAATCTACTGCCTTTGTGCTGCCCTTAGTGCCCCGCGCACGAGCAGGCCTTGGCCGACTCAGAATTTCGCGTCGCCTGCCGCTGCCGTACCCGCACCTCAACCTCCATCCCCTCCCCCCCCTTCTGCCACTCCTCGACCTCGCAACGTCCACCGCCGCCGCTCTCCCACCCCTGCGTGTTGCACCTGCACCAGCACCCCCCGCCGCCACCCCGGCCCTTGCCGCCGTGCCCGCCAAGCCTGCGTCCGCCGCCATCGGTCCGCCGCCTCCTCTTTGGTGCGCGCGCAGCGCAGCAGCCAGCCTGGCGGCGCGGTCCTGCGGCGGCGCCACGATACCGCCCTGATCATGCGCATGCACAAGTCCAACTGGCGTCGTGGCATGGCCGCCACGTTCGCGTCCATGTGGCTGCGGAAGAGGGCCACCCAGGATCCAGGCGGCCGCATCGGAGTAAGCAGCAGCAACTTGGCATACTGAGCCAGCAGCACCGGCTGCGCGGGCGGGGTGGCGGTGGCGGTGGGGGGTAAGGGGCGGGAAATCAAATGCAAGAAGAGCTAATCAACTGCCGAAAATGAAAGAGGATTAGAGCCGGGGCGGGGTAAAACGAGAACCGCTGGCGAAGGGGGGCTGATACGCAAGAAATTCAAAAAGGGATGCAACTGCCGACTGACGTCCAAAGCACCACAAGTGCTGTAGGATTACAAAGTGAGGACTGCCATTCGTTGGAGGGGTAGAGGCGGGGTAAAGGGAAAATGTCGCAGATGCGAACAGGGGGATGGTGCAGGCATGAGCCCATGAGCAGAGTGGGACCGTGTTGTTGTTGTGGCGGTGGCGGTGGTGGTGGTGGTGGTGCGTGTGTTTCATCGAAGGGATGCTAGAAAAGCGTTCTGGGCACCAGAGGTGGTGAACCCACGCTGCGCAGCACACAGAACACAGCATAGCGATGGCGGACATCCCCCCCCTTTGAAAGATGATATGTGCAACTGAAGGGCATGTCCCCTCTTTTCGCTCTTTGGATATCACATCGTAAATTGATGAACATCTGCCGACAGCAGCCACAGCACCGGAGAACAAAACACATTTCACTTCATGAACATTCATCCGGGGATGAGGGGCCTGCCTTTTCGGGCGGTACCCCCAGGCGACCCACCGGGGTTGCACTCATGGCCGCCCCGCTCGCAGCGAAGAAAGCCCTCATCCACGGCAGCGGTGGAGAGACGCGGAGCCGCCACACGCCGTTCAGCACCATCGCCAACGCCATTGGCGGCATGTACGGCAACGCCGTTTCACATGCCCGCCAGTATTCACCCCGCCAGACAGGCCCCGGCGCCAGCTCGCACTTAGCCACGAGCAGCAACAGCAACGACAGCTGCGACGGCGTGAAGGGAGCATGCGCCGCTGGCGGACGCGCCCCGGCCGCTACCAAACCCGCCCGCAACTCGTATCGCGCCGCTGCGGCAGCGGCGACGGTGCCGCCGCCGCCGCGGACGCTGCCGTGCCACCCGCGCAGCGCAGCGGTGGCACCACCGTTCGCAACGATTGGAGTTCCTCCAACACCTAACGACTGGAGCGGCAGGCGCGGCCGAAGCTGCAGCTGCAGCAGCTGCTGCTGGGCCCGCGGCGGGGGCTGTAGCGAGTCCGTTAGCCGCATAAGCCCCCGACAGGAGGTTAGGAAGCGAGCTCGCCACTCGGCGGTTAGCGCGTGATGAAGCTCTAGTCGGTGTAGAGCCCATAGCAGGTTGACCAAATTGCGGCCGTCCATGTACGGCAGCTGAGACGAGCATTGCTGCAGGTACGGCATCAAGAACGATGCGCGCGGGCGGTGGCCCACACGAGCGCAGGCGAAAGCGAGCGCAGTGCAGGAGGTGGCATGGAAGGCTGGCAGCTTGGGCTGTGGGAGATGGAGCGAAACGGGGAGGGCGGAGGAGGGCGTCGGTCGGCGGGGTGGAGGGCGGAGGGCGGAGGAGGGCAAGACTTAGGAGGAAACCACCGTTAGAGAAGGGCGGCGCGAGAAGAGTTTTCCTGTACTGCAGGCCGCGGCCAACCTGTCATAGCGCAGCATGACAGCTTCAGCGCAGCCACAACACGCACAGCCTCAAGGCAGAGGCGACCACGGTGAAAAAGCCTAAGGTGATATGTCTAAGGTGAGAAACACCTCCCTGCGCGGGTGGCAGCAACGAAGGCAACGAAAGCCCCCTTTCCACCAAACAGGATGAGAGTCAGGAGGAGTGCAGCACTTCCTCCTGTCGGCACGCAGGGCCAACAGCACACAGTAGTCGCCATCATTGAACCCCCTCGCAGCAGCCAATCACATAGCCAGCCGCCACCCCAGCCAGCCCACTCCCCCAAAGATTCCCTACAAGCGCTCTTCTTCAGTCCATGTCCGGTCTCACAGTTCCTCATCTAGAATACTCTGGCCCCTAGAACTCCCCTGAAGTGGGCGCACGGTCTCACACATCTTTTTCCCCTCCTCCCCCTCCCCCTCCCCCTCCTCCCCCTCCCTGCATTCGTCCCCACCTGCGCCTGGGCCAGCAGCCCATCCAGCCAGGACCTCCCGGGGGACTGGCGCCACATGCCGAAGCCGCCCAGGACCATGCACACCTGACAGACAGCGGTCGTAAGGAAATGGCGATGATGATGTTAGGGAGTTGAATCAAAGGAAAGGGTGTGGTGTCAATGGTATGATGTGCCTCTTGAAGGGTAAGGAGAGGCGCAGGTGGCAATGGTGAAGGGGCACAGAAGAGGGAGAATTCATGTATCGAGAGTGAGGTCGCATCTCTAAGCCTCGACATCAGCATCATCATCATCATCATCATCAGCATCGCCATCGTCATCACTATCACCATCATCACCGTCATCATCATCATCATCATCATCGCCATCACCATCACCCTCCTCGACAAAACCAATGGACATGTGCAGCAACAAAAGAAATAGTTTGTTGTTAGTTTGTTGTCGATTATTAATAGTTTGTTGTCCATTGAAATGCGGTCAGTGCACCCATGCAGCGCTGTGCAGGCTTGGAGCAGCTGGCGTTGCAGAGCGTTGTTAACCCACCCCGCCACCAACCACACCTGGTCAGGCGTCAGTGCAGATGCCGCCCCGCGAATCACACCCATTACTTCGACGCGCCAAGCCGGCGCCGGTACCCAGCGTACGACACATAACGCCCACCAGACGCGTGCCAGAGTTCCTGGCTCCAGGGAGGCCAGGTGCGGCTGAGTGGCGGCAATCAAGGCGCTCACCCAAGGGGGGCTGGGCCTTACACCCATGCGCACCAGCGCCCAGAACGCAGAGCAGCACAGCTCCAAATCCGAATCCGGTATGCTGTCGTACTGTACGGTAACGGCGGCAGCGGCATGCGGCGCCGTGAGGTCGCGGCTAGCTGACGGCGCTGGCAGAAGCGTGATGAGGTCTAGAAGGGTGTCGGTGTGTGGGTCGGCGACTGAGGGTGGTGGTGGTGTTGGCGTCGGTGGTGGTGGACGCGTCGAGTTTGCGGCGTGGGTTGGCCACGCCCGGGGCTTCCCGGCGCGGTCACTGGGAGAAGCGGCCGTCGCGGTCGTCGCCGACGATGACGACTGTGGCGGGGAAAAAGCGCTGGTAGGTAAGCCATTGCTGAAGCCTGCTAGCCCCGGGCCAGGGGCACGTGCCGCCGGCGGCGGCGCCGGCAGGGGCGGCGGTGGCGACTCCCGCGGCAGCAGCACGGCACGCCGTACCGGTCGAACAAGGTCATATTCGGGCCTTCTGTGAGCTGCCATGTCCAACCCGACTGGTGTTGAAGGCGACGGGGGTAAGGAGTCTCCGTGCAGGTAATCACCGGCGAAGGCGGCCGCAGCGGAGGTGGCGTCGCCGTCGAGGACGCTCCCTGGCGTCGCTGGCCCGCCGTTGGCCACGGGCTGAGCTCGCTTCGCCGTTGCCTGGTCTCGGAGCCCCACCGCGTCGTGTTCCGGAGCTCCTCTCCTAGCAGCGGCCTGCGGTGAAGATGACACCGGGCCTGTAGCGACAGAGCCAGGGGGTCCGGGGGGTCCACCATCAGGTGTTCCCAGGGCGGTCGCGCCGCGGCTGCCAAATCCCAATGCCCTCACCCTCTGGTCCAAGTTGCGTAACGCCGCCACCCCGGGCCACTCCGCAAACCGAGCTATGGCCTCCAGAAACCGCGCCGCGTCCACTCCGCTGACGGCGCCACGCGACAGCGCCGTACGAATGTACGACATGTACGCTTCAGCGAATGCGCGGTCCATATACCGGCCTGCCCACGCGATGACGGCAGGGTCGCCATTGCCTCGGTCGTGACCGTGACCGTCGTATGACCGATGCGGTCCCGCCATACCCGCATCCGTCCGAGCTGTCGCTGCCTCCCGCGCCCGCCGTACCGCCCACTGCACCGCGTAGCCGCCAGCGTCGCGTTGGGCCTCCTTCTCGAGGAAGGGTCCAAAGCCGCGCGGCGCTAGTCGCGCCGTCGCGCCCAATGCCCGCGCCGCCAGATGCACCTGCAGATGCGGCAGTGCCGCCTCGAGCTGTTGCCCCAGCCGCAGCGCCAGTCGACGACCCACCGTCCCACTGGCGGGAGCGAACTCCCACATGTCTCGCGCTGCCAGCGTCTCGAGCAGCAGCACCAGCTGATTCGGAAATAAGGAAGGCGCCGCGGCGATGAGCTGCTTCAGGACGGGGAGCACCCAACTCGGCTCCGGATCCAAACCCAGTCGCCGCGGCTGGACCAGGAGCGCTAGCAGGCAGGAGATTCCCCAGCGACGCGGCTGGGCGAGCAGGCGAATGGAGATTTCCAATAATTGACGGGCCACGGATTGGGCCTCGGCGCTGGCCAGAGCTGGTGGCTGCGTCGTTTCCAACTGGGATTCGGGCCGAGGCTCCGACCCAGATGGGAAGGCCACTGCTGCGCCGCCGGGCTGACGGCGGCGCACCGACTGCACCTCCTTATAGGACGTTGGTACGCCTGTTGCAGTGGATGTCGATACCGTGTCCAGCCTCACTTGCGTCCCATGTACCGAAACCACGTGGACGAGCGCGTCCAGGGCCGCCGCCACGTGCTCGGCTCCGAAATCATCGCCATGCAGATCTACTAGGCGCGCAACGTCCGAAGCCAGGCGTGCGGCGCGTAACGCGCCAAGCAGCTTACGCGACTGCCACACTGACCCGCTCCGGGTCGGAGCACGCTGCTCTCTAAGGACGCCGTAGCTTTTGCCGTTGCAGCCGTTACTGCCCTCAGCCTCGCGCTGCTCAAGGGGCCCGTGGGTCCGTCCTGACGGAACGTCCCCACCATACGAAACATAGGCGTTGCCGTTGGGCGGAGGTGGCTTCGGTAGCCGGTTCTGGCATGTTGCCACGTCAGCACTGCCGTGTGGGGTCGACGCCACTGCTGCTCCTGCCGCCCCCAATGCTGCCGGTGCCGCGCGAAATGGTGCCGCCAGTACCAACCTCGAGTTCCTGGTCCCATGCATTTCCTGTCCTCGGCCACGTCGGAGGGTTATATCCCTGGGTTCAAGGGCCCCGAGGCCCAGTGGGGCATCTGAACCAGCAGCCAACATGCCAGAAGAACATGCCGCGGCTCCGTAACACATCGGAGCCCCAGGCCCCAGCCCCTGCTTCGAAACCACCAAACCGTGGCGGCTCCACCTGTCATTATGTCCATCGACCTTTTGGAGCTGCTGCATGGCATGTTTCCAACGAATGCTCTCCCGCACATGCGCGAATGTAGCGCTACTGGACGGCAGCGTGGAGCCCAATGCCGGTTCTGAAATCGCACACCCTGCTAACGTCGCTCTGACGTCCAAGGGGCCAGCGGCGGCATCGCTGTCCGCGGAAGGCGCAACGGAAGCAAGAATGGATGTGGCAGCAGCACGCCTCGCGGTCGCCCATGTCCTGGACTTCGCACGGGTGTTGACGCCGTGCCGTGCGGTATGGAGTAGGACCTGGGGCCAGGCGCGATCTGTTGTGATGCTAGTGACTTGGGTACGTCCTCTGGTAGTCGATCCGAATTCAACAGGGTTGGGGGGTAACAGGCCTTGCACCGCCCTGGTCGAGGCTTGCGGTCGGCCATCGTACGCGCATGCAGCGCGCATAACAGGATCCTGGAAGGTTAATATTCAGGCGTTTTAAAGCCAACATTCAACTTTTCTTACAAGGAGCTCTAGCTGGCAACTCCTTAATTACTATTGTTTGGCCAGGACCTTGAGCTGATGAGAGCACCTGAGAGAGAATCGCATCGAATGTATAATATGAAGCTTATGGTGAAAAATAGGGACCGACATCGTGCAATGAAAGCCAGCGAGGGAGACAGACCGCCGGTAAACTTCAGAAGAAAGAACTGCGCCACCAGATAACTACACCGTTCCTTGCTTTATGGGACTGTATTACTACAAGGGATTATAGCCCTACGTCGTTCAGGTAAGCGTGGTTAGAGGCTCCGACGAAAGTACGGCGCCTTCCGTTGGCTTTGGAAACACAATTGCAATTTCATGCAATGATCAGACACCAATTCATTGCAATTATCGTAATCTCACTGTGAGCATTTAAGTGCACATTTCATTATTGAAAATGTCCATAGCTATGAAGGCTGGTTCCTTGCGCGCAACGCGTGCATGCGTTGCTCGTGGCCGTCGCAGCTTAATTTGCAAGGCATGTTCATGGATGCAACTGCTGTGAAGGGCAAATTTTCAGTTCTATTCCACTGGATGACTGCAATTGCTATATATTGGTATCGGGGCCTCCTTTGCGCAGGCTGAGGCTGAGCCCACGCCAAGCACGTCAAAGACTCCTGACTGGTGAGCGATGCCATCTAACACGAACAGAGCAGATCATTGCTCTTGCTCACTACGGCCACACATCCATCAATGCACCATCAGAGCTTTATTTACCTGTCTTTGCTCCCTGAGGTTTCAACGAAAACATGTTTTAACTAATTAAACATCATGAACTGCTTCTACTGATATCATTATTACCATAAAGGACTACTTAAGTTTTCGGGTAAGGCCACCCTGTGACTTTGAAGGACCACGCTACCTTCCGGCACAGACTTCTTACCAGCCCCTCCTCATCAGAAGTAGCGTCGCGACCTGTTTAGTCAGCAATTCCATTGCCTTCAGATACCTCAGCCTCAGCCAGCTGTCCTTCAACCCCCTCTCTCTACGCTCTCTTCCCCCACCCTCTTACACCGCCTCAAGGCTGCCCGAGCAAGCTGGCCCCGTCCTCAAGTTCCTGGAGTCCACAGACTTTAAGCTGGAGGACGTGGACGCGTACAGGACATATCTCAAGCCGTACGTGGACTCCGAGTTCTTCAAGAAGGTACGCTATTAGCAGCACTGCCATGGTAACGTGGATGCGCCTGGGCACCCACGAATCCACGTCTCATGCGAATACGGTGCGCTTGCTTGGGCTGCCCAGTGGAGAATTACGTGGATTTACACAAACCACATTACCTCGTCGCAGTACTAGTGTTTCAGGACGTGCGCAATCAGTTTTCACCACTATGTACACACGTCACAAGTTCTGCACGCCGGTGTATCTTATGCTCCCGTTTCTCGTGCTATGGGTCCGAATATTACTTAGGCCGTACATGATTACCCACCGACTCCACTGATCCGTCACAGAGCACCGGCTGGAACGAGCTGCCGGAGACCATCAACGGCCGGGCGGCCATGATAGGTTGGTGATGATGCAAGGAGTGGGTTTAGCTTGTTGGTTGACTGGGGCCAGGACGGTGTCGGGTTATGATGTGGGGGGAACTACTAGAAGCTGTTGTTGAGGTGGTGTCCCTGTACCGTCACCGCTTCAAAATAGAGGGGCAACCAGAGGAATCGGCGAATGGGTTGGAAAAGCCACGCGCAGGGGATGTGCTGTTGCCAAGCTGTCTCAGCTGCTAGCAGCTTCCTGTAGTCTATCCTGCCTGCTAAGGCGGCACCCGCCCTACCTCCTTTGCTGGCTTGGGAAAACGCAGCGCGTCGGGCTGATTTCGTGCGACGCGAACGGTATGTTCGGTACCCTCTTTGCCCTTGCGCAGGCTTTGTGGCGGCTGCAGGTGCGGAGATCCTGGGCTCCGGCTCCATCCTGTCGCAGCTCAGCAAAGCCCCCCAGCCGGTGCTGCTGGTGCTGACGTTGATTGTAGCCGCCTCCACCATTCCCATTTACAAGGTGGGTGTAAGGTTGGACCTTGGCGAGGATGTCTGTGAAAACGGGACATGGAATGAGACCAGGGTGCCCGGCATGGACACCGTTGCTCAACCGACACACGAGGTCACAAGGGCCTCAATCCGCTGGTGGTGTGGATGAGGTTGGCCGGGATTATAGTCTTTCTTTGCGTGCTCGAGGGAGGGTGGGGGGGGGAAGGAGACGGCGACAAAGCGGTAAGCAGGAATGATGGGTTATAGTTTTGTGGAATGGGCTAAGTACCCGCTGCAGTAGGGGGGTTCGCCACTGGGAAAAGGTTTCGCCTCTGGGTAAACCCCATTGTCAAGGACTGCACGTGGGTGACGGCGACCGGATCATGGGACCGCCGTGAGCCGCAATCCAGCACTAGATGCCTATGGTAGTCGCTGAACCTCTTTTAGCTATCAACGAAACTACCATTCAACAAACTTGCGTTTGGAGAATGCTGCAGCGCCTGTGTTTTCTGTACAATTTAGCCGGCTACCCACTCAATCGTCACAAAACTTTCCCGGATGCCCTATTTGTGTTCATGGCATACTAAGTTATCGCGTTTGTGTGTGTAATTTCGCGTGGATTGTCCTACAGGGTACCCAAGGAGATTATTTGTCGGCACTGAAGGACACGTATAGTTTACCAGAGGGTGTTTTCACAGAAAGAAATGAGAAGTTGCATGGGCGTTTGGCAATGCTGGGTTTGACAACGTTGCTGCTGTTGGAGATGATCATTGGCCGCGCTTTGTTGTAAACGACAGATTCCCCGAAACTCAGTTACCCTCTTTGGATGCTAGTCTGCACTGATGTTTCTCGTACCTTTTAGCCCTTGGGCCTTTGGCTCGTAGTTTTCGACCCGTAGTAATACAGGGATGGGGTCACGCACCTCCAACCATGTATCACATACCCCAATTAAGAAGCAGTCATAGCAATAAGGAACCTGTGTAAAGATATGGAAATTGTAACTGGACACAAAATTGTAACCAAGTGTGTTAAATTAACCTCATCTTGTGGCGCCTTATAATTTGTACAAGGAATTTCCTAGTGACGGAATAAAAAATGGTAAATTTGTATGGTACATAAAAAATTTCTGGTATGTTACTTCGCGTGTATGCTCACTGATGTAATTGAATTCTTCAGGAGGCGAAATATTGCGGGAGGCGAAGCATTCTTGGAGGCTGAAATGTTACAAAAAATTGAATGTCACATTTGCCATTTTCCACAAAGCACACCTTGTGGATACGTCAGACCGCTAATCCCAACCCATATCCCAAAGTTCCAATCATCGACAAGAGCTCAGTACAGGCCCTCCTCCTGGTTCGTCAGGATAACGAGGTCCGAAGTTGCGTAGGCAACGCAGGTCAGAACGTAGCCAGCCTCCATCTGCTTGTCATCCAGGAAGCTCTGGTCGCTCTGGTCCACGGTGCCGGACACAACCTTGCCGGCGCAGCTGGAGCAGGCACCAGCGCGGCACGAGTATGGCAGGTCCAGGCCAGCCTCCTGCGAAGGGGACATGAGCAAACGGATAACGCAAGTTAAGACATGATCACAATCCAAAAGGTATGCATATCAGCCTATCCATCCATATTCGCCAAATTTGCACTTTTATGAATCATGAGTCTAATTTTTCATCTGTCTCTGCTCGCGCAGATGGCAACGAGTCACCAGACTTATTCTGACCTCGGCAGCGTCCAGCAGGTAAACGTCATCCTTAACCTCGACGACCTTGTCGCCAGTTGGGGTCTTGAAGGTGACCGAGAAAGCATTGACGCTCACAGTGCGGGCCGAAGGACGCGCGGCGCGGACAGCCGGGCGCGAGCCAGCCACACGGGCGGCGAAAGAGGAGCGCATGGTCATGGCCATCTTAGAATCTGTATCCTAAACGTGACACTGCAATGAATGTGTTATCACAGCTAGTGTACCTATCACAGAGATAAGGCGTGCTTATAACGACCCTCATCCCAAAGGGACCTACGATGATCCGACCCTCCCTGGTGAAGCCGCCGTACTGTCCCCTTTTTGCTCTCAGCCACTAGTATAGTCCTTCACTCCTTTCATCAATTAGTTTCAATGAGTGTTACCGGAGCTTTCTAGTATTTACAGTTGGGAAGATAAATGATGGAGCTTCTGTTCTTGTTACTGAGGAGCTAATGTCCTGCTCGTCATCCAAAAAACCGAAGCTGTTAGTTCCCATAACATAGAATTTATGATCCACGTATTGTTGATACGCATATAGGTTGCTCTTTTACTTTCATTTCAGTGACCGAGCTGGTCATGACTTCTTTTGTAGCTTATATGGGTATGTCTCCTGCACTGCGATCCCTCTATGTCAATAAAAAGGAGGTTGCATGTAGTGGGTGAGAGCCAAGCTGATTATGTCGAGACCATCGGTGCAAGGACGGAGGCGTACGCTCACCGAGCGTCGTGGAGTAAACGAGCCCTTTTTGAACGCCATGCCCTCAACCAAAGCCCGAACCGAGTATTCTCATCTTAAAGAGGGATGGCTATGGTATCACAGTCCAGCCCAGGAATAGAGCTCTCGGATATGCGGCCCATCGTGCGGACCTCTTCACGTATGCGCCGAGGATTCTCTGATCAGGAGTTTCCTCCGGATCCTTATAGCGAAGTATTCCGCTCCGCATGCAATGGCCAGAAATTGTGACCATTGGCCAAGTTGCTGACCTGCATGCCGCAGGCATGGCCTGCACGTCAGCTGCTTGGCTATACACTGCACGATAAAATTTCCTACCCCCCCTTTATAGACGGGAGAACAAGCGGAATTACAAGGAAAGCATTAGACACCCGCGACTTGCGCAAGGACGTCAGCGCAACTCGCTCCCTATGGCTTGCACCAGTGGTGATAAGGCTTGTACCAAAAGGGCTTACTTTGGTTGCTCGCTTTGGAATCTGCGTTACCCCAGATCTCACCTTGGCGCCGAGTCACACACACACACACACTCTCTCTATCAGCTCCTTATTGTTCTATTGCTGTACCCCGGAAGGCAGCTAGGCACGTTGCTGTCGCGTATTCTCCAATCACAGAGTGAAGAAAATGGTGCTCAGGTGGGATAGAATATGGTAGTAACGGCAGCGGAGAGGCGAACATAGTCGTATGTCCGTGCCCTCAAGGTTCACGCTCTGCGGTCGGTCCTCTGTGTTCAGAGATGGATTTTGTATTGCGTGTTATTTTCCTACAGAGCCAGTACGGTACGACAAGTAGAGCCCTCGACAAGTTTTATCTTAAAACCCCCATTGGCAGCGCCCCCGTCTTTCTTCCTTCCAATATGCCAGCCCATTCTTCCTAGTAAGCTCCTGTGCCACCACCCTGGCAGCTAGTATGTCTACATCCTTATCGGCGAACTTGCAGCGATATTGTACGCTCAAGCCGATACAGTGGCGCCTTGCTCGGCCTTAATGACCTGTGGCTACGCTGACCTATATGGCCGTTACTACATATAAGACGCAAGTAGCCGTTACAACCTTATCCATCGTGCGCAGTAACGGCCATATAGGCTATGCATATGCAGCAAAGCAGCTGCACACACTATTCATCTTGACATCGTGAACCGCAAATTGAGACGGCTTGTCGGAACGTGGACTACATGGCTGCCGTGCACGACTGCTTGAAGGACGCAAGGGCGCTTGGAGCTGTTATTGCTCAGCCGACGCCGACTGGATGACCCATTAACCTTATTATAATGAAAGGGGGGGGAAAAGGATGGCCCACAACTAGGTTGGTAGACCTAGATAAGGCACAGGTCTCGGGAAAAGGATGTCCGCGCACCAGGCTAATTCATAGTTGTCTCCTGCATGTGTTTCAATCCGCTCCGACACGTATTGAGCCACAGGTGTATAATCCAGCAGCCTATTCTAAACGCTTCTTAGATAATGCTTAACTCTTGCTTACCCGAATGGTTACGGGAACGAGCCGTTTTCGGTTACCGTTAGCCATCGCAAAACATGGCGCAATGTTAAATACTCAGTCAAATTTGAGATGATCCTGGCTTACCGCTTTGCAGCTGGACCTCTCGGCACGTGATTTGCAATGCAAGAGAGCAAGACCCACCGTATTGGCACCCCAGGACTTGAAAGGGGGAGGCTTCACCTCCGGCAAAGGATTGCCACATATAATGTTTATTTTAGCAACTGTTTATATTATCACGATGCGTAGAGGTTAAACCTTACCTAAGAGACTTGCTCTGGACTGCAGTTATGCCGGCGACGCCTCTGCATAGTCTCCGGCACTTTGTTTTTAGGTCGCAAGTCATAAGCTTGTACCGTCAGTATATCCGTGCAACGCGAAGCCTTGGAACGGGACCTCATCGGGGTGAGCTCTTGCACTTGTCGGCAAACGATGAGTTATAGCCGTGCGTCATCTATGAATGGATGACACAGGATGGCTGTATAGTCAAAGCGGACCAGAATGGGCAGCGTCTCCGTTGGAGCAAACGGTCGCGAACGGCGGCCGGTTCACGTCAGTTGACATCCACGAACGTGCTCTTATCGATGCCAATCGTTATTTGTGCCAGTGTTTTGTGCACCATCCTCCCTATCTTTATTGCCCAATTACCTATAAGTCGATCCCCCAGCTGTCACCCGACCGCTTTGCACCTTGCATTCCCACCTGCCGCTGCCTAGCTTCATCTTTCACGCTGCGCTCCCTAAACCATCCACAGCTGAACTCATAAACGAGGTTCGAGCCAGTTTTGAAGCCCAAAAGCATGTCACCGACCTGCAGGTAATTGGTCCTCGGTTAGGGACAGAGCTCCAGACTCACAGCAGGAGCAAGCCGGACGGCATATGTATGCTGACCTTCTCTTCAAGTGGTCCTCCGCCTTGCTGCCGTCATACTCGCCATACTAGCTACAGTCCAGCTACAGGGCCCTGCCCTCATCGTTTACACTTAGTAGCCACATGCTTCGCTGCTTATTGCTGGTTTTCTACCCGACCTCGCCTCCCACCCCCTTCGCTTCCTCCCTACAGGCATATTATTCTTTGTATTTTTGCACTTTCCCTCTTCCCTTAATTCGTCGCCCGTTCCTGTTTCCCGTTCAGGCCATTAAGTTCCATTTGAGTGAAGGCAGGAAGCGTCTGGAGCAGCTGCAGGTCTGTATGTTTGTTTGTATGTGCAGTGGCACAACCCACAACCATAGGGATGTAAGGCACCGGCACGCATTATTTTATACTGAACCATATGCCACTACACGGCACTTATTCTTTTTGCTCTGTCTCTCATAAGTCATAAATCGGAACCCACCATGCCGTGCTGTGCCTCGCGCTGCCGTGCTGTAAGTTACCGTGCTGTGTTGTGCTGTGCTGTGCTGTGCACTTCCCTCATTAGGATATGCTCGGTCTGCAGCGATAGCGGAACTCGGTGTCCCTGGACAGCTACACTCCGGCTCAGAGCAGGAACCGGCTCAGAGCAGCAGAACCAAGTACCGGGGAGGAGGGTGAGGGTGCTCCGAAACCTGTTAAGAGGACGCAGCAGAGGAGCGTGTGGACGAGTGAATGCGGAGTGTGAAGCGGAGTGAGGACCCCGCTGACCCAGGAAGGCCAGCTAGCCCCCGCTAGCCCGGAGCCAAACCTCCAAAAAGCACCTACGAGCGGCGCGCAAACCCCGGGGTTGCAAGTGTCAGCGTGTGCGCAAGGGCGCGAACGTATGTGCGCTTCCGAGAGTTCCGGGAGGTTGGGCTGACCCACGGGTCACTGCGCTGTGTTCTCCGTTAAAAAGAGGTTTCTCAAACCTTGAGGTACTGTTGGTGCGGTTAGTTCGTGCTGCTGACATAGCGTTCAGCACCCTTCTCCTCCTCCACCTCCACCTTACTTGCAGTCAATCAAACAACCAGCAAATCAGTCAGGCAGCCAGTCGACCCGTCAGTCAGCCAGTCAGATGGTCCTAGATGCGTTTCAGCAGCGCAAGGCGGTGGTGCTGGCGGGACTGCAGGCGGACTGCGGTGAGTGAGTGACGGAGCGTGTGTCTCCGTCTGTCTGTCTGTCTGTCTGTCCATTTGTACGTATGTCTTATAGATACTTGTCCGGCGTTGGCCTTCACTAACACATCGCGTGTCTCCAGCCATCCTGGCGCCATACCTCCTCCTCCTCCTCTTCTTCCCGCTCCTCTTCCTCCATCTTCCCTGACACTCCACACGCAATGGAAAGCTCGAGGTAGTTTGATGTGTGGTGGGAGTGGTGTGCTCCGCGTCGGACGTGCACTGACGCTCTACCTCACCTCTCTGCCGGGGACAGGCTCCCGGGCTTTGCCTTCTTCGCCGCTGCCTGCGACGTCACTGGTGGCGTCACCATCCCCTCGCGGTTCAGATTCCCAAGCCAACCCACGTCCCGCGTTATCTTCCTGCTTGTGCCGCCCGCCCGCCTGCCCGCACGCCCGCACGATTGCAGGTGACAAGTCCCGCAAGGGCAGTGTGGATGCGCCTGTGGCGGTCCTGGTGTCCCGCATCAACTCCCACCCCGCCGTTTACACGACCAGCAGCTGCTCCGGGCGGATCACCGTGTTCGGGGAGCCCACGTCGGAGACCCGGGCGGGGGGCAAGAAGGGCGGGGAGTGGGTGTATGCCAGCCATGATCCCGCAGACGCGCAGGTAGGGCTGTGTGCGTGTGTCTGTGTGTGGGGGGGATGAGGGGAGAGGTGGGGAGGGGAGGGGAGGGGTTTTGTTAACTGAGGAAGTTAATACCGGGAGGGTGGCCGTTGAGGGATCTCTTCTGCGGATGGAGCGGTACCTCCGCCTGGCGTTCCCCCGCTTGACGGCGGCCGCAGCCGCTGCCCTGACAGTGGTTGCTCCGACGGTTGCACTTGCCGGGGATTTTGCTGCTCTGTTATCGCGAGGCTGTTTGGCCGTTGTGGCCCTTTGCCCTGGTGTTAGTTGGTTGGTTAGTTGGTTGGGTAGTTACACCGACATTATGTTGATGTTGTTACAGGGTGGTTAAGCTTCACCAGTGGCCTCCTTCCCGAGGCAGTTCCCTGCTCTCCCCTGCTAGAGGGGCACCCTAATCCATTCACCCCATCCGACTTCAGAGTGTACTTTTTGAGTTTGGCAACTCACCACCAGCATCCAATCAAATCTTGCGGATCAACGGCGCGTCAACTTAGTTCCTGGTCAGCTCGCAGGTTGATTTTATCACGTCCTACACCGTCCACAAGATGGGGGGCCACCTCCCATTTCACCACCTCTCAAACACCCCGAGAGGTCGGCAGGCGGATTTGAACCCGGACGCGCCGGGAGCAGAAGTCAGGCCTTAACCTCTGCCAGCCAGTTATGTTGTACCGAGAGGAGACATCGCCTTTCTTGAAGCTTGAGTTGTGTCTCTACAAACTGAGGATATGAGGTCGCGACATGAGGAAGTGCTGAAGGTGTCACACCATCAGTGATATGTTGTGCGTTTATGTGTGTTCGCTCGTGTGTATGTGTGTGAATTCGCATGCTTGCAGGACGTGATATCAGCGATTCACGCCCGCTGCGTGTCAGGCGCCCGACTGGTGCTCCGGTTCGAGCCCTTCATCCTGGCCTTGGAGGTGGGTAGGCGCCTGGGAGGTGGCAGGCCGTGGGTTTTAGGGTGAGGGGAAAATTGTTTGTTTGGGGTTTTACCTTCGTTTTGCTGTGCTCTCGTTCCCTCCCGCCTATGCGCCAGGTGTGCTTCCGCGGGGAACCGTGTGTGTCTATGCGTGTGTGTGTGTGTGTGTATGCGTGTGTTTTCCTCACCTGATGTCCCCCTTCTCCCATCTCTAACTCCCATGCACCGCAGGCCAGCAGCGCGGCAATGGGTCAGCAGGTCTTAGCGGCCGCCCGCGCCGCTGGCTTCAGGGAAAGCGGACTGACCCTTGGGTCAGGGGGGAGGCGGGTCATGGTGAGCCAGGGCGGGGGGAAAGGGCTGGCTGCGGACTGGCTGGGTGTATGCGGTGTAAGAACGGAACATCGCGCGCTCGTATTCCATGTATTCTGTTGTCTTGTATCCGTGCCCCGCAAAAGTCTGTGTCAGCGAGAATTGGGCCGCGTGTTTTTTCCTCGTTGTTGCTGACGGGGTGTCACGATGACTTCAGTTCTGTTACGATGATGCCGTGTAGGGAATGACCTCAATGTTCTCAATGGTCTCAAGGCGCACAGATCATCAGGCCCCCAGCGCTGCCCCCGTCTCGTCCCGTACGCCAGGTGGGAGTGCGGTGCTCTCTGCGGCTGGAGGTACCCGTCGCCGACGCGGGTGCCGTACTCGTGCCGGACACCTACTTAACGTACCTGGTGGGCCTTGCGAACGACAAGTTCCAACAGAATCTGGATCGCATTCGTCGATTTGAACAGGAGCTGTTCCTGGCTTTAGGGAACCCGGCGGCTGCGGCAGCTGACGGCGGCGACGCTGAGGCCGGTACGGTACGGCAGTCAGTGGCGCAGGCGGCGCTCCGACAGCCGCCAACCGCATCTGCGGACCCGGGGACCATGACGGCGGCGCCGAGCGCCGTAACGAACAGCGACGCGGGAGCCATGACGGTGGCGGCGGCGCCAGCACGGCGGCGGCGTGGCAACGCTCCTGCCGGCGCCGGCGGCACCATCCCGGACGCTGCATTGAAAGCCTTGAAGAGGCGCCAGGCCCAAGTTCTGGGTCGCATCCGAGCCCTGGAACTCCGCCTTCAGGTAAAGAGCTGGGGGCGTCAAGAGCCAGAACCCGGACCCGGCAGCAGCAGCAGCAGCAGTGGGGTCGCGGGTACACAAGGTACTAACAACCGCCGCGTCGCCACCGCTGGCGCTGGCTCTGCGGGTGCCATGGAGCTTTCCCTGGAGTCGCCCGGTGCCCCCGGTTCTACGTGTCTGAGTCTGGGAGGGGCTCTGCGGTGGCGTCCGGTGGCTTCCGTGTCCCCTGGGCAGGTGGGTGGGTAGGTGGGTGGGTGGGTGGGTGGGTGGGTGGGCCTATCTACAGTCCCCATGTCACAT